GCTAAGGCTACTAGTTGAACAGTTTTTTAATAGTGAGTAGATGATTAGAAATAGATTCCAATGGCTCGAATGGATCTGTTTTAAGTGCTTTCAGAACCAGTGGTAAATCCCATGGTGGAGCAATAGGTTTAATAGGATTGATCTTTAAGACTGCAGTCATGAATCTGACTATCCATAGACAAGTTGTGGAATTGCACTCAACCCTTCGCCCTGAAATCCTAGGGTGCTCTTGGATCAGTCCCAGTACCAAAGAGACCAGATTTTAACATATAATTATAGAAAAATGACCCAGGCACTCCAAAATGTTCCAAAAGATAGGCAATTTTATTGGACCCAAGAACCAAAATGCTTGATAAAGGCCCTAAGGGGTCGAAATGTAGCATTTTGGTTCTTGGGTCCAATAAAATTGCCTATCTTTTGGAACATTTGAGTGCCTGGATCATTTTTTCTACAATTGTATGAATCTGACTATGTCCAAGTCAAAGGCCCATTTATGATTAGTTAAAGCAGAAAGGGCTGACATATGGACTTTCAAATTATTATAACTCAACCCTTTATCCAAGCCAGATTGCAGAAACTCCAGAATATCTTTGGTTGGTTTCTGAATATCCATATGTCTAGATCTGGACTATGAAGAAAATACATCCCAGACTCTGTAATAAGTGGTTGAAATAGACTTTTTTTTCTTTTCTTGCCTGTAAGAGTGTATCAATTACTGCTTGTGAAAAACCTTTTGCTTTTTAACCTTTCCCTTTCAAGTACCATGCCATCAGATGAAGGGATGCCGGATCTGGGTGAAGAATTGGACCCTGTTGCAGCAGGAATGGAACTTCTGGTAGACGCCATGGGCCTTTCTTGCATAGAATTAGGAGTGGAAACCAAGGTCTGCGTGACCAGAAAGGGGCTATCAGAATTAATGAAACTTCCTCTTGTCTTAATCTCCTGAGTAGTGTAAAGATGAATGAAGTCGGAGGGAATGCATAGGTTAGGTTGAATTCCCAATCACATGATGATGTATCTCTTCCTATGGCTTGAGGGTCTAGAACTTTCGAGGCGAAATCCTTTACCTTCCTGTTACTGCTTGTTGCCATCAGATCTATTTGTGGAAGACCCCATTTCTCTGTAATCATTAGGAATATCTTGTTCGATAGACTCCAATCTCCTGGGTCTATCGTCACTCTGCTCGGCTACTGAATTTTGTATTCCTGGGAGATGAATTGCTGAGATGCCTGCCAAATTTTCTTGCGCCTAGGACATGAGGTCTCATAATTTCAGCATTCTGTGACTCCTCGTCCCTCCTTGGTGATTGATTTATGCTACTACTATGGCATTGACCCAGTGATGAAGTAGAAGCTGGTGGAAGTGTTTCAGGGCTTTGAAAACTACAAGAAGCTCTAGGAGATTCGAAGGTGTATTGGTTGCCAGGAAAGTCCATTTTCCTTGGATGTAATTGTTCTGAAGGTGGGCTCCCCAACCCCATTGGCTGGCGTCTGTAGTAATAATCCATGGAATGTTTCCTAGAGGAAATCCTTTTGAAGAGGAATTTCTTCTGCATCCACCACATCAAGGATTTTTGAACCTGAGGAGGAATTCTGATTGACTGAGACAGATTCCCCGTTTTGAATTGGCAAAGAAAATTGTTTTGGAATATTCTCATTCTCCATTGTGCCCATCTTGTCAGGCCTATAGTGGAGGACATGGATCCCAGAAGGCTCATAGTTCTTTCTGCCGAGGTTACACTGGATGTCAACATGTCTCTGACCTTTCTTATAATTATCATACCCCTTTCTGGTGACCGCTGTACTGAACCTTTTTGAAGTGTTGAACGAAGCTCCCAGGTAAATCATGTTCTGAGATAGTGACAGTTGGCTCTTGGATATGTAGATTTTCCAACCGTGGTATTGAAGAAATTGCCTACATGTGTGACCGTGATTTACTAATTCTTCCAGAATCAAGGATGTCATCTAGATAGTGATAAATGGCAATGGCTTTTTATTTATTTCTTTTCTTTTTTTTTTTTTTTTTTTCTTCTGAGCTCTGCAATTAAAACAAGAACCTTTGAGAATGTGCGTGGGGCTGTACTTAGACTGAAAGGAAGGGCACAGAATTGAAAATTTCCTTCTTCCACTGCGAATCTGACATATTTTTGATGCTGGTGAGCGATGGGAATATACAATATGCATGAACTTGTTTAGTCTGGTATTGGTCTCAATCCTCATGTGGACTTTTTGGTGAAGATATGAGCGTAAAATCCCTGAGTCTGTTGTGCTCGTGGAACTTGAACAATAACTCCATCTTCTTGAAGGGATGAAATAAATTCCTTTAGGGCGTTTCTTTTTTCCATACCTCCTGGCCAATTTTGTTCTTTGAAAGGAGCGAAGTGGAGGTGCTTTTGAGAATTCTAGAATATAAACCTCTTTGAATTATGTTAAAACAACCTAGTAGAAGAGCACCTACTCCTCCAGATTGGGAAGCAAACCTGTCATAAAGGTTTCTTGTGGAATGATGAACCCATGGATTTTCCACCTCTGATGGATTGTCCACCTCTCCATGATTGAGCTCTCCAATATTCTCTTCCTGGTGTCTCGAAAGGAATGATACTCTATATATCTTTTTAGCCCAAAAGGAACCTCGGGTTTTGCGATCTTGGGGAAGAAAGGCTTTTTTTTTTTTTTTTCTTCTGCAGCTCTTTTTATACAATCGTCAAGATTCTTTCCAAACAGCATTTCTCCATGAAAAGAAAGGGCACATAAACTAGATTTTGATGACGAGTCTGCATACCAAGATCTCAGCCACAATGCTCTTCTAGCTGATACAGAAAGAGCCATGTTTCTTGCAAGTGATTTTACCATGTCCACAGAGGACTCTGAGGTAAAGTCAATGGCCAGCTTAATATCATTCAAGCTTGTTTCTACCATCTCTAATATACTCTTCCAAGTTCTCAATCCAAATTTTCAAAGCCCTAGATACTGATGTGAGGCCTATTGCAGGATGAAAGCCTTTACCTGCTGCTACATATGCTTTTGAAAGGTTTAAGTCTATCTTTTTATCCATTGGGTTTCTGAAGGAGCCTGCATTGTCGACAGGTAATGTGGTGTGCTTTGCAAGTCTAACAACTACAGCATCCACCTTAGGGGCAGTATCCCAATGGCATGAGTCAGATTTTCCAAATGGGTAGAGGCGTGAGATTCTGCCCTGTGCCGAATTTTTAAAATCTGCATTGGACTATTTGTCCTTAATCAATTCTTTGATAGTGTCATGTACACATGTTGCTCTTGTTCTCCTTTAAGTCTGAGAAGTAACATTTGGAAGTTGATGGTTCTTATCTAGCCGCTTCTTTAAGACACAATGATTTGCTGAATTTGGATATAAGATGACCCACTTGAGCTGGTTCCAGAAAATCTGGGGTAGCTTGAGGTTCTTCTTCCAAAGAAAACATAAATTTTTTTTATTTATTTTTTATGGTATGGTTTCATCTGATGAATCATCCTGTGAATAATCCTCATGGAGCCTGGGTCTTTTGTTTCTTGTGTGTGCTTCTTTAATACCTTGAGATACAGCTTATTTTTATAAGCTGCATAATATCAGTTGTAGGATTAGATGTTCCGGCTGCTTTCGATAAGCACTCTGCACATAACCTTTTGCCTTCAGCGGTCTTTTGTCACAGGCTTTGCATCAAATTTTATTTTTTGGGTGATTTATTTATTTATTTTTCTCTCTTTGGAAGATTTTACAGTTTTTCTTCCCGTAGAACTATCATTACAGGGAAATCTCATATTAGCTCTTTTGTTTTAATTTTCTACATATTGAAACAGACAAAATTGTTTTAAATGGTAAAATGGCTTACCTATAACTCTTAGTGTGACCTATTTTTATTCCCAGATGAGTCAGAATCAGAAGAGACTGTGTGTGTGTGTGTGTGGTTTTTTTTTCTTCTTCCTTCTTCCTTCTTCCTTCTTATTGGTAAATGAGAATAGCTAAGAAAAACAATCAAAATAAATATTCAACATCAGACACACGCAAAAAAAAGTATACACCTTTTAAAAGCTGGAAACATACCTTGATGCCAAAGAGAAATTTTCTCATAAGCAATGAACATCAAAAGTGTAATAACCGAAGATGGGGAAGATCCTGGGACCTGAATAGGGCAAACAGGTCATTAAAATTTTGGCGCCTAAATAGGCGTTGTGACGTCACTGTCTATTACGCGCATGCTCCAAGCCTGGCACCAGCTGACTGGCAATTGCGCATGCGTGAAAACAGAGAACAGTAAGACATAATAACAGAGCTCACGTCCACATGAACACTTGTCCTCGCGCTTACGTGTGGACACTTGTTATGTCTGTGTGCCTAGGAAAATATTTCCTTGAACAAGATTGTTTGCGCATGCAAAGGCCCATTTGGAGAGGAGGCAGAGCATGGAAGATGAATAAATGTATGAAAATATAGAGGCAGGAGAGGGAACCCACATATATAGATATACCAAAATACAATTTAGTAAAGTATTTTCTGTATACCTACGTGTGAGCTGTCAATATGGAGAAATAGTGATTCTTCAATGATATCTTCTTGCCACTTCCTGCTACCTTTTGGTCATTGCAGGGAATAAGATTATTGGCATTATTTTCTCTTGCTACCCCTAGGGTCACAGCAAGTAAACCTCCGGTCACTAAGGGGGTACCTTCAGGGGGACACCTTTGCAAACGGCCGTGTACTGAAGCTTCCCAAGGAAGAGAGGGTGAACTCCCATGGGGGCAGAAGGTAAAGACCCTCAGGTAAGCCAAAAAGAAAACTGATTTATAGTCCTGTAATAGACTAAGTTGTCCTATAGGGATAGGACAGGAACAAAAAGAGGAGTGAGGAGTGGGTATTTGTACCTTTTTTATTTTAATTAGTTCCTGTCTAATTAGGTATAGGGGATGAGCTACCCATTGTTGTGCTGCCATGGATATGGCCAGGAAAATAAATAGAGAGAGTGTGTGTGTGTATGTATGTATGTATGTGTGTGTGTGTGTGTGTGTGTGTGTGTGTGTATATATATATATATATATACACACACACACACACACACACACACACACACACACACACACACACACCCCCTAAAAAAATAAAATAAAGGGAACACTTAAACACAATATAACTCCAATAAATCAAACTGTCCACTTAGGAAGCAACACTGAGTGACAATCAATTTCACATGCTGTTGTGCAAATGGGATAGACAACAGGTGGAAATTATAGGCAATTAGCAAGACACCCCCAATAAAGTAGTGGTTTTGCAGGTGGTGACCACAGACCACTTCTCAGTTCCTATGCTTCCTGGCTGATGTTTTGGTCACTTTTGAATGCTGGCGGTGCTTTTACTCTAGTGGTAGCATGAAACGGAGTCTACAACCCACACAAGTGGCTCAGGTAGTGCAGCTCATCCAGGATGGCAAAGCAATGCGAGCTGTGACAGTCTGGAGACGCCGCAGAGAAAGTTCTGCTGCCTGCAACATCCTCCAGCATGACCGATTTGGCAGTGGGTCAGTAATGGTGTGGGGTGGCATTTCTTTGGGGGGGCTGCACAGCCCTCCATGTGCTCGCCAGAGGTAGCCTGACTGCCATTAGGTACAGAGATGAGATCCTCAGACCCCTTGTGAGACCATATTCTGGTGCGGTTGGCCCTGGGTTCCTCCTAATGCAAGACAATGCTAGACCTCATGTGGCTGGAGTGTGTCAGCAGTTCCAGCAAGACAAAGGCATTGATGCTATGGACTCTCCCGCCTGTTCCCCGACCTGAATCCAATTGAGCACATCTGGGACATCATGTCTCGCTCCATCCACCAACGTCACATTGCACCACAGACTGTCCAGGAGTTGGCAGATACTTTAGTCCAGGTCTGGGAGGAGATCCCTCAGGAGACCATCCGCCACCTCATCAGGAGCATGCACAGGCGTTGTAGAGAGCTTATACAAGCACGTGGAGGCCACACACACTACTGAGCCTCATTTTGACTTGTTTTACAAGTTGGATCAGTCTCTAGTGTGTTTTTCCACTTTAATTTTGAGTGTGACTCCAAATCCAGACCTCCATGGGTTGAAAAATTTGATTTCCATTTTTTTAAATTTTGTGATTTTTGTTGTCAGCACATTCATGTAAAGAACAAAGTATTTCAGAAGAATATTTAATTCATTCAGATCTAGGATGTTATTTTTGTGTTCCCTTTATTTTTTTGAGCTGTGTGTGTATAATTACAATAATTTTTTTTTGTAAAAATTAAAATTAAATTTTATATATATATATATATATATATATATAATGTGTGTGTGTAATTTCATTCTAACTGTATTTTGTTTTTTAAAATATATATTCTCCCCTTTCCCCCCTAAAGTATAACCGTACCCCCCATGTACAGGTTTTATGGTGTTTTGGAAAGTTAGTCAAATATAAGACTTGCATTGCATTTTTTAATTTAAATAAAAAAATTTCACATTAAAATTTGCCAGTTTGGTAATGTTGCCTTTGGGACCGTATGGTAGCCCACGAATGAGAATTACCCCCATGATGGCATACCATTAGCAAAAGTAGACAACCCAAAGTATTGCAAATGGGGTATGTCCAGTCATTTATAGTAGCCACTTAGTCACAAATACTGGCCAAATATTATTTTTTAGTGGTGCACATACTCCTACCTACTTTATTTGTCATGATTTGCCATCTACAGGCATGGGGTTCCTGGGATATCAGTTCACGTCCAGAGTCCTCTGCCTGCAGTTATTCATTTCCTTTAATGGTGTCATGCAGGTGTTATACTAAAATAAACTTGCCCATCACCCTGTGGTAACCTGATGCTGGGCAGCACATAAACCACTTTCTCCCCTTTACCTCATTCAAAATGCAGGAGAACTACTGGGTAGACCGTGGCAGAGAGCAAATAGGGAGCTATATGTAAGCATGTGGCTGCTTCAAAAAACAGCTGACCAATAAGGATCTCACCATTTCTACATTGTGCCTATGAGTAGGCTAATGGACAGATATATCCTTGCATTGCTTTGAAGCGCAAAATAAAAATAAACTTCTCTATACACAATTTTGGGAGAAAAGAGTTTGTGTTATAAGGCAAACTTGCAAATAAATTAGAATTTTGAGTCTTTTGGGTCATTGTCTTTTACTGCTTTCTGCTATTACACACACCTGATTTTACAGGGCCTGTGGTAGCTCTACCCTGTATTTGTTTTGTGTGGGTTGGTGATCAACAGTCTCCATTTTCTTCAAACATGGATTGGTCCACCAGGACTAAGCATCTAGATTCCTTGTAGGTGTTTAACAAGTGATGACCGGGTGAGATGCAACCGTGGCATTCATAACAAACCGATTATCGGTAGTCATGGAATCCCTGGAAAATGTCTTAGATATGTACAGATCTGTTAGTACTCCACCATGCTCTGCAGGTCATGTTGATGGAGGTTGCATGGATAAATATTGTCACACCTCACAACTTAACCCGTGTATTGCATGCTCTGTGCGAGTCAGACTGCCACACAGAGACCTGGGAGTTCCTGTGTGAAAGAAGGCCATTTATTTGTACCTATTCCTCAGGCCAAAAGTTGCCAGTCCTCCTCTGCACCCACCTAAAACAGCCTTCCCAACTGATTTTTGTGGGACACTCCTATCTTTCTGGTCCTGTCCCTCCATCGCAACTTAGCTCCTTGGTGTCGTTCTTCTCAGGGAGCTGGAAAGTATACTAATGTAGCTGTAACGGACCGTTTTGCCCACAAGAGGTTAAACGTTTAGGCGATATTCCCCCTTTTCAGCTGCACAGACAGCTACTGCAAGCACCAATCCCCCGAACTGCAAACCCACTAATTCACCAACTCCTGAACTGCAACCAAGGGAATACTCGAAACTCCTGAACTGCATACACACGAATAGCTGCTAGCAGACGAACAGGAAAAGCCCCCAAGCGGCTTACACTCCTGGCAATCAGTCTCTAACAGCATACAGTAAATCCTCCCCCCAATAATGAGACGACACTTCACTTTGAGGGTTAAGCAGGAACTGCACTGTAATGGCCACACACTGGCTTTTATGCAAGTCCCCATGCAAGTGGACATCCCACAGGGTGGGACACAGTACAACCAATTGTTTACAGGAGAACCATAAAACACACCCACAATTACATCACAATCCCTCCTCTCTGTCCTAGAGATAATTGTGAAGTAATCAAATTATCTCCCAGGACAGAGGCAAGACTCCATTAACCACATGGCAGTAACAATACAATAAAAGACATAAAATTACATACAGTTACATTTATTCCATAAAACATACATTCTACATATCCCCAGATAGCTTAGATCTGAGTGCACATTACTACCGAATGGCGCTCAGATCACATACATACCGTTCAATCGCCATGGAGCCAAAGTCTTTCAGTATACGGCCAGGCTCCATGGCATAGCTATCTGGGGTAGCATGGCTTTAACAGTCCGCAGAAAGGCACGAATAAACCTTTCTGCCGGTAAAATAAAAGTTTTAAAAAGCAGGACCATAGTCTAAAGGGAGCAAGCGAGCAACCAGGCTTCTCCAGTGTACAGTGGCGAGGCTGGTTTCGCCACAGTAGCTATACTTAAGTAACATAATTGACATGACATGGTGTGTGCTTTAAGGTGCTCTTCATGTTTTTGGGGACATGACTGAACCTGAACTGATAGAAGACCAATGGGTTGGCAGAAGGTTAAAAATTATAATTTTGTGGAAAATGTTAGATATAGAAGTTAGCTAGATTTTCTTGACTTCGTTTGCCAATGTGTCAGCTTCTTTTCCAAATTTTTCTTTTTCTTCTTCTCTCTTTGGTAATGACAGGTCATCTTTTTAGCCATAGTTCAGTTGTAGAAGAGAAAGATGCAAATTATACATAAGTATATAAATTAACTGAAAAACAATTGTTTCTTTAAATATTACATATTAGTGTCTGTGTATGCATTTTTAAGACTGACCATTAGAGGTCAGCCTTCACCTACGTAAAATTCTTTTTCAGAGAAGTCTGTAAAAGTATCTAACTGCATTTCTCCTGATTGATCATTTCAATATTGTTGGTAAACGTGTTATTCCAAGGAATTTCCACACACTGTCAGCATGTTCTTTAGTCAGGACACAAGGGATATTGCCTTAATTTGGAAATGACCTGCCAACTTTGTGTTGCACTGCAGATACAGGAATCATTTATTTCTTAAAAGAATGTAGGAAACCTGATAAACTCCTAATCACAATGTTAAACTATCTGACCAGATGATGCATAATAAATAATTTTTTTTTCTGGGTTATTGAAGTATATAGCTTGTAAATCATCACTTCATAAAAGAAAGAAATTGGGGTTAGTTACTATCTCAAATGCTAGAGGTAAAACGGAGTCTACAACCCACACAATGCTAGAGGTTATGGGTAGCATCCCAACTATATTAATAATTCGGGTAGTACTGCCGTCTATACTCCTCAAATACTCTTACATACCCTCTGCACAGTACTATCCTTTTTAGTCCCCCCCATACCTTGGAAGTGAATTTGTTATACCCTCCAAGGACATCTATATCCGTACTGAGCAGCACACACTTGTGCAATTACTATTATATTGCTTAGTGGGGGTACATTCTGGAGCCATCACTTCAGTGGTTACTTTTTACTCCTTTATATTCACACCACATTAATATCAGTTACTGATACTTTGTTGCAAATGAGCTACTAACAACAGTTTATACTAGTTACTCATCAGTATTCTAAAGTACCAACTTTCTACCTACATATATCTTTCACTATAATTTTTTATATTCTTTCCCTAAGAGGGATTAATAAAGATTTATTATTTTTACAAGTTCTTTTTATGCTCTAAGATTGGCAATCTATCTCCTTACACTAGTAGAGCAGTTTTTTCTCCGGTTATAGAGACCGATATTTGGGAACGCTGTTTAGCTAACCCATTTCAGTCTCTTCTCTTTGTATTATACCTTTTGGGGTTATGCCGAATACCCTCCAACCAACTCAACCCCAGTGAGGGATTCTCTTTTCTTTCACTGTCGTTGTGCTCTTTTTTTTTTTTTTT